TCAGTGTCGCGCCCATACCGGACCAGGACCGGCAACGGGATCGCAGCCCTCAGTGTTGCACCCGCACCTCGCTCAGCCAGTGAGCGGCCGGTCTGTATGTGGGATCCGAACCCTCAGTGGGAGCGCCACCACGCTCCCAAGCGGCGCACTGTAGCAGTGCGCCACCAGGCCGGCCCCTAACTGTATGCTTTTTCAAACTGTCAGAATAAATTAACTGTAAGAAGGTGAAATTTGTTTTCAGTGTCCACATGATATTCAGTTATGTCATAAAAGGAGCAGAAGTATTAACACCTTGCTCTAGAAAGCAGAACTAATACTAATTAGGCAAAGTTACAATGAATATGATTTCAGGTGATTATAAAGAAATAACTATGTAATAATCAGAACTCTCTCGGGCTTTAAAATAAGGTAATGAGTTCCTTTTTATTAGATGTAGTCTAGCTGAAGGTCAATGACCACATATTAAGATACCATGAAGACTAACATCACTGGGTAATAACAAATCACAACTGTTGAAAATAGCAAATACAAACCCTCCCATTTGCCTAACTATTTATTGTGCAAGTAAGCCCTCTATTTTTTCCAGGAGGATGAATGCTGATAAATCCTTTGATTTTGATGTGGACTCAAAGGTGGAGGACTGCTCTACAAGTTAGACAGACATGGCAATAGGGTCTCAGAAGTTCTCACTAGTTCTATAATTCAGTAACCGAAACTTAGGTTTTAAGGACAAAGATTAAGATTCATCTTAATCTTTCAAACTCTGAAAGATCATGCATGATTAATTAGGACCTAGGATCTTACAAACTTTTTAATGTCTCAATGCTCCCACACTACCTCCTCATGGAATTTTCAGTGCTCCAAAATACTATGGCTTGCCTTAGGTAAAAGCATATGTATTACTGATATGTGGTAGAGAGGGATGGAAGAGAGAGGAATCAATAGCTAATTTATGTTTTCACATTCAATATAATTGGTTGTCTTTACCTGACCTATCCAGGCAGTGCTTCCTCTATTTTTTTGTGGCTCATTGTACCACCAGGGAGAGCACTTAACCCACTGCTGTAGTTACACACTTAAAAGGTCTGTTTCCATCGCAACACTATGAACCCACAGATGGTAGGAGATATATTTTACTCATATCTATAACCCCAGCACTTTACACAACATTTGGCACACAAACAGGTACCCAGAATCCTCAATGAACCATTCTAGTACTGCTAGAATATCAGTGTTGATATTACCCTGAAATAATTCAAAGAAAAGGTTGACATAATTAGTGGTATTTAACTGACATTTGAGAAACACAGCTAAAGGAAGAAAACATGTAGTGCTTGTTATCACTAAATATAACAATCTCAGTTCCACAAGTAAGGAACTTTGTACTTATGTAGTGCTTGTTATCACTAAATATAACAATCTCAGTTCTATAAGTAAGGAACTTTGTACTTATTCTAAGATGTCTATTTCTTATAACATTTCCAAATCACAAGGTAAACAATTTCATTCACTGCAGTATTAGAAGGTATTTCTATTTAAAAGTTAAAATGGCTTTGTACTTTTACATCAAATACCAACTCTTGAATATATATTAACCTTTAAGGGCATTCCTTAAATAAATACCATTCCCACTATGTATACATACACACACACACACACACACACACACATGCACGCACGCACTTCAATAAGGACAGGTAATCAAGGAGAAATTCAGAAAGGGAAATGCTTCAAACAAAATAAAAGCATTCATCACAGTACTCAAATTAATAACAGTGCATTTAAATAAATGAAAGGTACCATATTCACTCTGGAGATGCTTGATATAATCATGTACTTGTTATTTTGGGCTCAAAGAAAAGACATCTTCCTAAGAAGCCAAAAGATGAATAGACTGACATTGTCAAAACACAATCCTTTTATTTACTTTATTTGCTTTCAACTTGCATATGATTGTTTTCGTGGAAAATTTCCCAAATCCCTCCAACACAAGTATTTTTAAGTTTGGGTTTCCAAATTTAATTATTTCTGTCATACAGCTGAAAGAAACAATTTTGACAATATGACAAAATTTTAAAATAAAAATACTTAAAAATATAAACTATCATCTATACTTGCTTAAGGTGCTTAAGATTATCATTACCATATCCAGTAAATGCATGTCACTGTTCTTCACGTTTCGACCTGGGCTTAATAACATTCCAAAACATCTGAAAATATTGGGGGGGAAAAAAAGGAGAAATAAGGTATCAAGAATATACAGAAGCCCAGTGAGCAAAAAATGTTTTTATAATAACTACACAATCAAGCTCTGTACTTACAAAGAGCTTTAGGTTTTTTTTCTAGGAATACCAGCAGTAAGAATTCATTGAGATACATCATAATATCATATAGGAATAAGTTATCTAAATCCCCAGATCTTTATTTTGTATGTAAAATGTCACCAATGATCAAAAGATGCCATAAAAATGGTCACAAATTGTTGACTGGAAGAAAATATACAAATTAGTGTCTAGGGAGATAAGAAAATTTATTTGCCTTAGAATTATTCCAAACATGTAAGTCAAGATCAATTAACACATTTAAATCAAAAAAAGGAGGTTTTTGAAAATAAGAACAAGACACTGTGCTGTATCTCTGCATCAAACCAGATTGATGGAAAGAAAACTATTACCCTGGCCCTCAACAGTCACGCTTACTGAGTAGCATGTTAATACTAATATCCTAGCTAAATCTAACATTTTTATATTTGTTATTAACTCTGCTTTACAGGTAAGCAGAATGAAGTCCAGAAAAGTTAAAAATTTTACTCAAACTCATATTTCTATCAATTAGGTGTTATAACTCAAGAGGCAACGTAAACCATCCACAGTGTCCTTCTGCCAACAACATATAGCCACACTTACTAGAGTGTTTTTATTGTAGATTCCCCCAAATTTAAAGATATGCTATGGAGCATTTTATAGAAGGAGTAAAGCAGGTGTTATAACTCAAGAGGCAACGTAAACCATCCACAGTGTCCTTCTGCCAACAACATATACCCACACTTACTAGAGTGTTTTTATTGTAGATTCCCCCAAATTTAAAGATATGCTATGGAGCATTTTATAGAAGGAGTAAAGCATATAACTAAATTAAACACAAGATTTTTTAAATTTCAGAATAATGGCAGCTGACTAGTCAACACTTAATCTGGTCCTTGTTGTTTTCCAAAGGTTTCCTAGTAGCATAGCTTTTTCTTACATGAAGAATAAAAGTGATTGGTCCTATCCAAATACAAGTTTAATAAATAGACACTTCCTGTGAATGCTTGAGAATGCCTTGCTCAAGGCTCCCTTTTGGCATCCAAAAATAATCAAGTACATAGCAAAGGTAAAACTGACAAATTCTGAGGATAACTTTCCAACACATAATTGCAATAATGAACAAAATATAATCCACTACAACAGAAATAATTATACTCTAATATTCATAATTTTAATATGATTACTATACACTGCTATGATATCTCTCCTATGAACTCTTGTAATAAACATTGTGTACAAATACAGTGGTAATTAATCACGCAATTCAATGTACTATCTCTTCTACTACTGTCTTAAATTCTTGCTAAGCAATAATAAAAGATTCAATTATTTTTCAGATATAAAATTTGGTCTCCCCAACTAAAAGGTCAGGTCAATGAGAACAGATATGTCACCCATTTCCCTACATATTTTGCTTCAGCTTGCATCTCTCACGGGTTTTTAAAGATCAATTTTCTATATTATAGGGCTTACGTTATAAAACTATTACACACACATTGTAATAAGTTAAGAAATAACAAAGTATATAAAGAAAAAATACTTTCTTCTCTCTCAACCCCCTTACGAACGAATGCTAACAGTTTGAAATACCTCCTCTCTATATACCTTTCTTTTTGCTCTTTTTGAAAATTTAAAGTTTTATACTATTTTATTTCTTAAGGACTTCCAGATAAATGGTAAAATAGATAAAATTTTACATTTTCTTAGCATAATATTCCTATATTAAACTCTACTGCAAAAGGAGCCTTAGAGGTTTGGGTTTTCCTTGAATAACAATATTCATCATCTTATTTTAATGATCTTTGATGTACTGCTTTTTTCTAGGCTCATAAATAAAAAACTCTGCCATCAACCAGCAGTGTGACCATAGAGAAAGTACCTAACTCCACTGGGTCTCTGCTTCCTCTTCTAGAAAATGGGAGTGGTATAATATGTAAACTTTAAGCGTTCCTCAGCACTAAAATTACATAATTTTTTTGATGAAGTTGTATTAGTCTTTTCCAAAATTATACTTCATTAAAGCACATCAGGCTTCCTATAGAAATCAGCAAGATCTATTAGGAATAATGTGTCAGGATTAGACACATATTATTAGTAACACCAACACCTAATACAAATATTAAGTTTCATTGGGGAGTTCAAAGCATCCAACCTTCTCTCATTAACTCGATAAATAAGGTAGAAAGCAAATTGCTATCCCAGCTATTTCTAGTAGAGGAGGAAAATAAGTAAACAAGCAATTACAAACTGATGTGGTAAGCTCTATAATACCTTTAAGAACGGAATGCTAACAAAGCAGAGAATAGACATACCCAACATTATTTATAATATTTTAAGTAGTTGACCTGACCCAAAATTGGAAGTCAAACCTCCTGAGAATGAGATAATGAATTTATCATATTAACCCTTATCATATTAATGATAGTAGCTACTATTTACTGAATGTCTTAACTTCAAGCCAGATGCTATTATATTATCACAGTTACACTCCAAAACAACCCTCATATAACAAATGATAAAACTGATCTTCAGAAAGTAGAAGTGAGTTACCCAAATCCACACAGCTATTAAGTTATAGGACTGGGATTCAAGCCCATGTCTATCACTACAAAACTGTATGGTCTTTTACACTGTAGCCTGCCACCTCCCTGGGCTATCAGTAAAAAAGACTATAAATTCCCTGTGTGAACCTGGTCAAGTCACAAACTTCAGAGTCTCACGTTCCACATCTCTGGAATACAAATATTACCTGCCTATATATTTATCAGGTTAATGTAAAGTTGAAATGAAAAAAGCCATGATGAAAGTGCACTGTTAACTATAAAGCGGTTGCCAGCTATAAATTATTATTAAAATTACCACTATCAAGAAGAGAATGTTCTGCCTTCCATACTACTGTATGAGTTTTTACTAAAAATAGAGCTTTAAGTAGCTTTTAACACCAAGTTAGCATCCATCACAAACACTAAAAATTCAGCATCTCTAATATTACTTTAGGCTTAACTATAGGAAAAAGTGAGAAAAACAGATGTTATGTAAATGTCCTGCAATAGGAAAACTTCTAAATTTTTGCCTTTAATCCATCAAAGCATTAGGAATTCTATATAACTGCATGGAGACTACGGACAAAAACCGGAAGGAATGAATAAAGTGAGGGTGGGAAGGAAAGGAAGGAAAGAGGAGGCAACTGACCAACACCAGTTACAGAATGCTATCTCTTAGTAGACTAAACTTTTGTTAAAAAGTGACAGCCTGACAGAAGGGGTAAAAAGAATTTCAAAGAAGAAAATCTGTAAGTCAATCACAGTTTTTCAGAACAATATGCAAAACTCTAAAACTAAATAATTTCATAAAAATTGGCATCCCAGTCAGTCTCACCCTAAAGAGGCTAAAATAAGAAGATAGTTGGGAAAGTCTCCTGTGATAAGAGTCTTTGGAATTGTTTTCTCCTTGTTGAAGGGACCAAGTAGAGCAAGATACACTGGCATTCCTCGATGTACACAGTACTGTAAAACCATAAATATAACCATACAAGCCAAAACTATGCAAAGTGATCAAATAATCAATAGCAAAAATGATAATTGTTCTGTGACCTTTAAAAATTTTTGTCAAAACTTTAAAAATTCTCTTACTGTCAGTTATAAATGTAAAACTATACAGTAAAATTATTATTTATTTAGTATTTTGTCATTTAAAGCACTTAGAAACATTAAAAATTAAAGTATTTTATTTATTTGAAAAATCCTATCAAGAATAGTTTGAACAGTGCTTGCTGCCTTCTTGTATAATTTACAACACAAAGCAAGCATCTTTTCTATGCCTTGGCAAACTGTCATACTCCTTTCTAAGTCTGGATCAGCTTCCAATATTTTCTCCTTTGCATTTTCAATGTTGTAAAATATCTCCAAGAGTTCCTTCAACGTAAAGTTTTCGCCATAGTCACTTCCTCTGAGATGTCCATCCTTTTCATCACAACCATCTTCCTTATTTATTTTTGGTAACTTCATCTTCACTAAGCTCCTCTGGCTGCATATATAGAGAGCACTGAATAGTGGCACTGTCAACACTCCCAGAGTCAGTTATTTCTTCTTTAACTCCATATATGTCATATTCAAATCTGGCAATGTTATTTCTATGGAGAAGTAAATGTTTTGCCATACTATCCATTGTTGCTTCCTGATGTGATGCTTGAATGTTTTAAACTGCACACCTTATGTCATATTTCTTTCAAAATTAAGCAAAAAAAAAAAAAAAAACGCATGATCTTGTAATTATCACTTCCTTTCAACGTGGAAACTAACCTCAACAGTTTGGCATGAATGCTAGCAAAACTGATTAGAACTCTTTTTTATTACACTCTTTAATCCAAAGTAGAAGTAAATGCTCCAATTCAACCATAAGCAGCTTTCTAGTCCTAGTGAAATTAAACTAAAAAATACTGGAGTGACTATATTGTGTTTCTTGTATTTTTTTAAATTCATCACACTTTTCAACATGGTTCATAATCATAACTTCACGCAGGCCTAAGTCTCATCCTATTCTCATTATGCTGTCACTATTTTCAAATCTGAGATCATCCAATCTTCTAAGATCACATGTAATTTCACTTTCAGCATTACTTCTTTTTCATTTCTTTATTGCACTTTTATCTTTGTCTGCCAATTTCCTCTTTCAATTATCTATTTTTTTTAAATGTTACAAGGGATAATCACTGGGAGACAAGAAGGCAACACAACAACCTGCTTTCTTCTCTGTGAGTGAACTAAATATCAGATGCACTGGGACCAATCACCAACAGTTTTTGAAGGAAGTGACATGATTGGTCAGTGATCATGTATTTATGTAGTGATTTGTGAACTACAGAACTAACAGCAAAGTTTGTGCTTTATGCAATTGCTCTTAGT